TTTCCTGCATTTTTTTGTATGAAGGTCATTTCGGGTCTCCCTATAGCACTGTACTTCGTTCACTGTCCTGACACAGATAAAAAAAAACAGATGAAAGAAACTGTGATTATTTTTATATATCACTATGGGTGAAAATCGAGATATGTATCCAGTATTTAACCAATAAATCTATGAGGACAAACTTTTAAAACAAAATATTGTAGTTCATTTTGAAGCCCAGAAAATTCTCGATGTTCCTCTATATAAAACATTCCGGTTCTGAGTAGATATGTGGAAGAAATATTCTTTTAAAGCCTTAAGATAGATGAAAATCATGATATCTGTCTAGTATTTCGACAATTGACCTATATGAGCATATTTTTGAAAAACTTATTTATTACGTATTCATTTTAAAGCGCGAAAAATTCTCTATCTTTCTATGTATGGATTTTGGTCAAGGTCTTTGAAATCATGCGGAAAACTTGAGAAACAAAGTAGATGACCTTCGTTGAACCGGTGACAAAAAATGGTAAGAAATAATTTTTTCAGGGAGATCAGGAGCAATTTTTGAGAAAATCAGAAGTGTTTGGGAAGTGAAAAGGGAAGCATTTCTGGCCATTTTCTATCAGAAACCGTTTCCCGTCCTTTGAAAAAGCGAAGTAGTCTGTAAAGTGGTTTTCTTCATTTTCGAAGTGAAAAACAGAGTGGGAATAGACTTTTACAAAGCTCACCTTGCTCTCGCAGGGAACACCGATTATTAGAAACACCTTCTGGCATTGTGATAACGCTGAAAATGTGGGGTTCGAAACGAGAAAAACGAGCTGTATAAGAAATAAGTTCATTGCCGAATCTTCTTTTGTATTCTTCCCAAAACTGATTATTGTTGTACCTTATATGATCTTTTTCTTTCTGCTCGTGACTCTGTAAAAAAGCCGTCTTCTCATGTTACTTCTCATAATTTTGATTGTCGTTTTTCCAGCTCTTGTGTCACAACTTTCTCTTCCAAATCTCTCACTTTGCCGTGAATATTTTCGGATTCTACAGTTTTTCAAAATTTATTGTCGACTTAGTCCTCTTTCTGTCTTTTTCGTTGTTCATCATCCTTATTACTCTTCTTTATGCTGTCATCATTCTAAACACGTTCGTGTTTCAACTTCTGTCAATGGTTTCACTTCACAAACAGTTTTTTCTTCCTTTTTCTATTCAACTATTATAATAGTTAAATACGCGTTTTTTAATTAATTGGTAGATTTTGACTTCTGTATCAGATGCTGTCTCATTCTTCATTTGTTTGGGTATCCGAGTGGTACGATGATTAAATTTGTGATGCATAGCTGTAACTGCATCTTGCTTAGGATCCCTTCGATGATACATAACTTCATATATTGAGTTATATTATTCGCTTTCTTATGTTTAGTTTTCTTTTTGTTGAAATTTCCAGTGGTTAATATGGTGAAGTATTGCCATTATTTACTAGTCTTTATCCTTATTATTATCAATTATGTGTCAAGTAAGCAACAATCCGATATGATGTGTGTCGAACATATGGGTGCATATCCCTGCGAGAGTCGTCTAAGTAAAGAGCATAGTTTACAATTTTCAAAAGCTCAAAGTAAGTTGTTTGTTCATTTGGCAAACAGATGACTTAATACGTTGCGTTCTTTATTTTCAGTATCAAAACCTGCGGTGAGAGCCGTTAAGAATTTTAGACATTGTACGACAGCATTTGTCTACTTTCTGCTGTTTCTTTAGCCACCATTTGAAGGCTCAACTGTAATTAATGGAGAATTTAAAGAAGTCAAGTTGTCTGATTTCAAAAATAAATATTTGGTGTTGTTATTTTATCCATTAGATTTGTATGCTTTTTCTTTTGAGTATTATAAAACCTATTTTCTGATTTATACATTTATTTTTTCTAGCACATTTGTATGTCCGACAGAAATAATTGCATTTTCAGATAGAATTGATGAATTTAAAGACATCGATACAGAAGGTAAATCAAGAATGTTTTTTATAAATTAAAAGTTTTTTTTATATTTATTTTCTTTTAGTTGTTGCCATTTCTGTCGACTCACAATTTACTCACCTTGCGTGGTAAGAAAAAAATCGTTAAACGTTCAGCTGTTCCTAGATTTCTCAAGAACCTATAAGTTATTATTTAGAAACTCACATTAATCAGCTGCTGTTTTAAGTTTTGTAACTGAACGCGATTCTTTAGACAAACTCGCAAGAATTAAACTGAACAAACATGAAAATGAAGAAGCATAAAAAGAAAGCGAAAGGGTCTCTTATTATTCAATCTAGCAATTATTCTTTATTTTGCATGACTTTATGTTACACTCTTATTAAATTACACAACTTCCTGTAATGATCGTGTTTGTTGATGTAATTTTATTGTAGGATAAACACTCCCCGATCGCAAGGTGGTCTTGGCAAAATAAAAATACCATTATTGTCAGATTTAACACATCAAATTGCAAAAGACTATGGGGTTTATTTGCAAGATGTTGGTCACTCATTAAGGTAATGCTAATGAAGAGTAACTAGCGCTATTCGTTTTAATTTGCATATTTTTACCTATGTTCTATCTTTACTTCAGAGGATTATTTATAATTGATGGAAAAGGAATTTTACGACAAATAACGATGAATGATTTACCAGTCGGAAGAAGCGTCGACGAAACTCTCAGACTATTACAAGCATTTCAATGTAATGTCTTTTGGAATTATTTCTTTCTACATGCATATTTTTTTAATTTTACATTTTGTTTTAGACACAGATAAACATGGTGAAGTTTGTCCAGCAGGTATTTTTATTTGTTTCTTCAAACGTTGTTATTATCTATTTATTTTAAATGTATCGTTTTAGGCTGGAAACCCGGAAGCGATACGATTACTCCTGATCCTGAAGGAAAATTGAAATACTTTAATAAGCATGGTTTATAAAAGAAACACTACTGTTTGTTAGCTTTATCTGTTTTTTTTCTTTTATTATTGTTATAATGAAGAATGATAAGATTAGTTTGAATACTGATATGATCAATTCTATCAAAGGAGCCGGTTCTTTCAATTAGTCATCTTCTTTTGTTTTAGCTAGTTTTTGTTGGTTATGTTTATTGTTGTTCTTTTGTTTTTGTTTTTATTAATTGAAACAAAATAGTGGGATCTCTTTTTCCTAAACGTTGTTATGATTATATATATATACTTCAGCATCTATGCATTAAAAGACGATCACTATAACCATTCACTTATTAACGAGACGATGTGATTTATGTGTTGTTTGAGTATATTTACTTTTGGGAGAGATGGGCAAGTCCGACAACTTTCAAGTACAATACTGAAGAATTTTGAGAGTCAACTCCAACATAAGTTTTTTTCGCTTTTAGCACTCAAACAACTGACAGCCCTTCTTCTTTTCTAACTTGTCTATTTTAATAGTGAATAACGTGTTTGTCGAACTTTGAATCGAAAAGGCTC